TCACTATTAGGTTAGAGGCCATCGCTATGAGGTTGGAGGCCATCGCTTCTAGGTTGGTACAACCTGTGGATTGAAACTACTTTGGACTGGTGACCGCAGTCGTCAAGGCCTCAAAATCAATCTTCCCATTGCCATCAGTGTCGAATCCTCAGGGTGTGAAGTTGAGTGGCCCTTGACCTCCCAAAGAACATGTGCTTCATGCAAAAAAGCAACATTTGGCATACTAAGCGGAGTGCTGGCAAACATGGCCTGCATCTTGCCTTCATCCACCTTGTAGTTTCTTCGAAACCTCGCGGCGGCCACAAGAATATCCACATGCATTAGTTCTTGGCGCCGCTCAAATGGATCTCACTTGGCCGCCCCACTTTCGGGAGACTTTCACCTTGGGAGCCTCGGAGAATGAACGAAGCGCAGCCAAACACAAATGAAATGCGACGTTTGCACCGCCAGAGCTGGGGTGTTAAAAGGCCGACTTACCAGGCCAGCATGGGCTTGCAGCATGCATAAAGTTGACTGGGTTGGATCTTGGGCAATGGCGGAGCCTTCCGCCGCCATTTCTGCAAGTACCGTCCTCAAGGTACGAAGCAAGAATCAAGCACAGGAGTACTCCAATCCAATAGGAACAAGAAGCTACTAGGAACAAAGGGCATCGCTACTAGGAGCAAGGACGCTACTAGGGGCTCCTGGCCTTTACTAGGAACAAGAAGCTACTTCCTCTAATAGCGATGGCCTCCAGATGGAGGATCCGTCTCTCAAATGTCCGGGACCAACTGGGACCCAAGCCCATCAGGAGATTCTAATCGCCTTTTGGGCACCAAGACGTGCGAAAATAGAAAATCTCAATGAGCCCTACCAACCCCTGCCTGAGCAAATCTTCAGCTACCTCAAGCTTCAGCAGGTTCGATGAGCTCAATGTTCAATGAAGGCTTTAACTTTAACTTCAGGCTGCTGCAGTATTCACAAATTGCTCGGTCGTTGAACCTTCTGGGCCTGCCATATCTCGCGTACCTGGGGGCGGTTCATTAGTCATCCATATTCATGGTCCATGTCTCAAGAGGCATGGCCTTTCCCACTGCGGAAGGCCTCATAGACAGCCTCCAACAAACACAAAGAGTACATCAAGAGGCAGCTTGAAACTTCTGGTTGGCAGATTGAAGAAAGCCTTTAAGATTTGAACGAACATAAATGCTTGGGAGCGGGCTGCTTGGCAACATTTGGTGAAGTGTGATGTGACTTCAATGGCTTTTGGATCTTGTGCCTAGGTAGGGAAGTGCGTGAGCACAACACTGGAGAACCCCCGAGTCCCGGACCAAAGCCGCAGCATGATCCATAGACCCAAGCAAAGCCACCACCTGCATCTTGAAGTGCAAAAGTAAAGCACCGTTGAAAGGTGAGACCGTTCAAACTCAAATTTTACCATTTAAATGGATGTTCAAATACAAGGACTTCTGAGCCCACCATACCCAAAGGGTTCATGGATGTTTCTTCTCCACCTCAAGCGACTTCAAAAACAACACGAACGAGCAAAACACGCGCAGCTCTCATGGGACAGGCACGCAAATGCGCATGCCACAAGTCGGCAACCGTGCCATGGGAAGCCTTGAGTCAATCGGCAACTCATGGTATAACAGCAGTGGTGTTAATAAACAAACAACATCTAACACAAAAAAACGTGCAAAATACACGAAAGCCAACACTTATATATAACTTATATATGTCTTATAACTTGGAGACTCAACCGGTCAAGCCTCGAACTCCTTGATTAGAGCGCCGTCCTGTGCGGACTTCCCGTTTCAAGCTTCACATCTGAAGGCTGAAGCTGCATTCTAGTGAGAATGCTACTAGTAGTAATGCTCTTTGTTGCTAGTAGCTTCTTGTTCCTGGTCCTAGTAGTATGGCCAGGAGCTACTAGTAGCGTCCTTGCTTCTAGTAGCGATGCCCTTTGTTGCTAGGTGCAAAAAGAATGCCAAAAATATCTGAATCAGAACCCCCACAAGCCTTTGCACGTGTGTTACTGTTAATTCAATCAAGGGCCCTGCCTTTTTCACCACCTGTCAGATGCGGGCCTCTAGGTTTTTTATGATGTTTTATGTCAGGCCTTCCGACTGCCTCCTTGCCTCATCCTCCTACTCCTCCTCCTCCTCTACCTCCGTCTTCTGCCCTTTTCGCTGTTGGCGGTGTTGGCAACGGCCCGGTGTGCTTTGCTAACGCAATGGTTCTGAGTGGGTTCTTGGTGGTTCCGGCCGTGGTGTGTTGCGTCCTGGACTTTTGGCAGTTGCTGCGATGTGGCGCGCCCTCGACTTTGCCAGAACACATAAATCAAAGCAAACGCCGAAACATAAGCCAGAAAACATGGCAGAAGACATGCAAGAACACATATCACATATCAGAAGAACTGTCAGAATAGTGGCAGAACTCATGTCAGATTCTGAAACGTGTCAGAGCAAATGCCAGAACAAATGGCAGATTTGATGCCAGAACACGTCTCAGAATACATGACGCATGTCAGACAGAGCACATGCCAGAAAGCATGCCAGAACACAGAACACAAACCGGAATTGATGCCGTGTCAGGCAGGGTTTGTCAGGATAGTTTATCAATACAGGTGCCCTGTCTTCTTCCAAATCACCTCTCAACGTAAGGCTCACTCAAAGAAAAGTAATTCCTCCCCCTGCTTGAAGTCTTGAAAACCCTAAATTGATTGATGCATTCATTCTTCTGTGTTCAGCATGAGACCTCCTCTCCTCCCGCTTGCCAATCAGATTCGAAGTGATAAAGCCTGGACTTCGATGAACCTGCGCAACCTCATCGGTTAGCATATCGCCATCGTAGTTGTGGCCTCAGTGGCTGGGCAAACCTATTTCTGTGCTTCGCAGCTCTCCACAAAAGGAAACATGCTTGGGTTAGGGCGTCAAACCAAAATTATCCAAACAAAAGTAAGGAGATGATGGTCCACAAAGCAAATCCACACTTTAAGGTCCTATGTGCGTACCGCCGCACCGCTTCCACAAAAAAAGCTTTGCACCTGCCACGAAAGTTCGCAATTCACTGCGCCTGGCACGGGCTCTGAGCCCTTGGATGCCACGGAGCTTGGCACGAAATCTGCACTTCGAAGTGAAACCCGTCCGATGTCGTTGCTGAACTGTTGTTGAAGAAGGCAAGCCCCAAGGACACGAAAAGTCATCAAAAGCCACTAGTACAGACCATGGAAAGAACATCAAAATCCAAAAAACTATTCTTGTCTGTGCCTTTTGTGCTTTGCCTCCTTCGGCGATCCCAGGTTTGGGTTTTGAGCTGGAGCTGCCTGTTGTTCAGCTTGGCTGCGAGATTCCGGCTTAAGAGAGGCTGGAGTGGGTAATTTGGTAGGGGGGTGCACAAAAGAAACTCTATGACTCTATGGCATACAAAGAGCCTATCTCAGAACTACCTCTTCAAGTTTGCGCTTGCCCGAGACCAAAGCACCAAAGGAACAAACAACAGGGGACCAGAAGGGTAGAAGACCAGAGAGGATCACAACAGCATGTTGCTTTGAATAGTTTGTCTCATGCTCTCGTCTTGTGCGGGTGCTCTCTGGTTGATACACATGTTAGAGGGAAAGGCACAATACTAAGATTACGGAAGGGACAAAGGAGAAAGGACAAAAGAAGGAAAAAACGTCTACGGGCCTTAAAAAAGAGGTCCAACATGGTCCAAAGGACTCCAAATGGACTCCAAAGGTCAAAAGAAAAAAATATTGAAAAAAAGAACCGAAAAAATAAGTTGATGCTATGCTCTATGTAGACTCTATATCAATCATGCTCTCAGGTACCGGCAGGCCATGCCAAAACCTCCGTCAGTCCACCGAATGATTTGCATCGTCGCAGCCTAAAGCCATCTGCTATTCGGATGAAAATTTGGATAGCAAATACTATGAATATGTCTTGTCTATTCTTCTTATATCTCCCCCCACTCTTCAAGCAGAAAGACAAAACACAAAGCTGAACAAGGTATTCAAGTTGCTCATCAGCCCTGCCAAGCGAGATCGGAACAATTCCCAACTCAATCTGAGACAGTGGCATCACTGATCAAGTGCTGCCTTGACTCAAATGAAAAGTCAAGCTGGGGTAAGTAACCAAGAAACCGGAGGCATTGAGACAGGGACAATTCGCCATGTGTCTTCTCCTGATGTGAAAGCTCCGTCTTTTGTGTATAGCGTATAGGAGCGACCGCAAGGCTGAACTGAGGAGGGCACAAGCAAACCAGCTTGTAAGAAATCTGCCTTGCACTTGACGACGATTTGCAAGCAACTCGTGTCAAAATACCAAGAATGCTCCAGAATACCTTGTACTTGGCATCGAAGACTTCCTTCATGATCTGCCAAAACCCCTCTTGCCACTTGAAGACCTCAAAGGTCACTTCGCGCAGGGTGAGGACTGTCGTTCGACAAACACCGCTCATTTGAGTTGGACACTGTCTTTTTGGTTACCACATAGGGCACCACCTGCCGAAATGACGCGCAAATCTCTCACTGAAAGAAGTTGCTCTCATGCCGCCTTTGCTTCTAAGCATCGCTGGAAAAAAATGTGAGCCAGGTCCTCGCACTTCGTTGAAACATTCCCGGCAGCGCCGCACGCATGACCAACTAGCGTCAACTTCTCAACTCTGGCCATATCTCCTCAACATTGTCCAAAGGGTTGTCATAGACCACAACACACTGCGAAGCGAGCAATGGAGAAATAAAGAAATAGAATCTCTTCCGGCCCCCTTCAATAAGACCTCTTTCAATGAGGGCTTTTCAAAGCGATCCTGATCCAAACAGTATTTTTCCGTCTGTATGGATCCTATTCTGAGTATAGTCTTCTACCATATTCGACTCTCGATATTCTAGCATGACTGATGCCAGCCACTGACAGCTTTCAGCAGTTCACGGCTCTGGCACTTGAGTGTCTGGGGGGGCCAACGCTGCGATCGTCCTTCACCTCACGTCCATCCACAATGATGGGCTTGCCCTGTCGAACACGTCATCATGCAGCGCATCTGAGGGTTTTCATGCAATGGTTTTGCCATGCTCAGCCATGCAACCCGCCTCGTCCATGCTCTCAGGGAAGAAGGTTGTGAGCACCCTGCCCTTGCCAACCTTCGCGCATCTTTACTTTTTTGCATTGATGCAATTTCTCCTGATGGCCGAAGCCAGCAACGCCTTCTTCCAGCCAGCTCCATATTCACCACCCACAGCATGTCGTTCAAAAAGCACAGGTCTTTTGAAACCCAGCTCAATGCCAGGGATGTGGATGGTATCCTGATGACTTAATGGATGCTATGACATTGTGCATCGCATGCGTGAAACGTGATGAAACTGAAACACTCAGTCCCTGGAGATGGTAATGCCATTCCAACCGCGACGCCTGAGGACACTTTTGAACGACTTCGTCAGTTCATACTATTCTTCTTTCAGCTCATGCATCCTCATTTGTCAACTCATACTATGACATGGGTCGTTTACTCATGCTACCTGGTTGCAAGACTCCTTTGCGTATTCAAGTCTCTCCCACTCCGACTGGCACTTTCTCAGCGTGATTTTCCAAGTCCATCACATCAAACCATTCGGTGAACCCAAGGGTCTGCTAAGGCCCATGGATGCCATCCTCAGGAAGAGTCTACCAACTCAAACGAAGGCGTCCTGGAATAAATGTTGTGGGATGTCCAGTAGGTTAGTCTATACAAAAGGACGTTGTTTCTCTCTTTTGTTCATATGTTTTTCTCAAACAATGCTCTATTGATGTCAACCACTGGGTGCCGACAATCCAAGCTTCTGGCTGTTTTTTTTGTGGGAGTAATGGTCGGCCTGAGAGATTGCAAAGCAACTGCTCATTAATTGAAATTTTAGAAAAAACACATACAAAAACAATCTTCATTGGGTGGCTCATAGCAATAGCCTCCAACCTAATAGCGATGGCCTCCAACCTCATAGCGATGGCCTCCAACCTAACAGCAATGGTCTCCAACCTATTTATAAAAAAGCAACTCCAACCTGATAGCAATTGCCTCCAACCAAATAGCAATGGCCTCCAACCTAATAGCAACGGCCTCCAACCCCAATAGCAATGGCCTCCAGCCTAATAAGCATCGCCTCCAACCTGATAGCAATGGCCTCCAACCTCGTAGCAATGGCCTCCAACCTAATAGCAATGGCCTCCAACCTGATAGCAGTGGCCTCCAGCCTTGTAGCAATGGCCTCCAACCTGATAGCAATGATCGCAATTGCCTCCAACCTAATAGCAATGGCCTCCAACCTAATAGCAATGGCCTCCAACCTAATAGCAATGGCCTACAATGTGATAGGAATGGCCACCAACCTAATAACAATGGCCTCCAGCCTAATAGCAATGGCCTCCAACCTAATAATGGCCCCCAACCAAAACAAGAAATGCTTCCAACCTAATACCAATGGCCTCCAACCTGATAGCAAATTGCCTCCAACCTGATACAAATAGCATCCAACCTAATAGCAATTCCCTCCAACCTAATAACAATGGCCTCCAGCCTAATAGCAATGGCCTCCAACCTGATAGCAACGGCCTCCAACCTAATAGCAATGGCCTCCAACCTGATAGCAATGGCTTCCAACCTAGAAGCGATGGCCTCCAACCTGATAGCAATGACCACCAACCTGATAGCAATGGCCTCAAAACTGATAGCAATGGCCTCCAACCTAATAGCAATGGCCACCAACCTGATGGCAGTGGCCTCCGCCTCCGACCTAATAGCAATGGCCCCCTAACCTAATAGCATTGGCCTCCAACCTAAAATAGCAATGGCCTCCAACCTAATAGCAATGGCCTCCAACCTAATAGCAATGGCCTACAACCTGATAGGAATGGCCACCAACCTAATAACAATGGCTTAGCAATGGCCTCCAACCTGATAGCAATGGCCGCCAGCCTAAAAGCAATGACCTCCAAGCTAATAGCAATGGCCTCCAACCTAATAATGGCCCCCAACCAAAACAAGAAATGCCTCCAACCTAATACCAATGGCCTCCAACCTGATGGCCTCCAACCTAATAGCAATCGCCTCCAACCTGATAGCAATGGCCTCCAACCTGATAGCAATGGCCTCCAACCCGATCAAACTGATAGCAATGGCCTCCAACCCAATAGCAATGGCCACCAACCTGATAGCAATAGCCTCCGCCTCCAACCTAATGGCAATGGCCTCCAACCTAATAGCAATGGCCTCCAACCTAATAGCAATGGCCTCCAACCTCTTAGCAATGGCCTACAACTTGATAGGAATAGCCACCAACCTAATAACAATGCCCTCCAGCCTAATAGCAATGGCTTCCAACCTGATAGCAATGGCCTCCAGCCTTGTAGCAATGGCCTCCAACCTGATAGCAATGATAGCAATTGCCTCCAACCTAATAGCAATGGCCTCCAACCTAATAGCAATGGCCTCCAACCTACTAGCAATGGCCTACAACCTGATAGGAATGGCCACCAACCTAATAACCATGGCCTCCAGCCTAATAGCAATGGCCTCCAACCTGATAGCAATGGCCTCCAACCCCAATAGCAATGGCCTCCAGCCTAATGAGCATGGCCTCCAACCTGATAGCAATGGCCTCCAACCTCATAGCAATGGCCTCCAACCTAATAGCAATGGCCTCCAACCTAATAGCAATGGCCTACAACCTGATAGGAATGGCCCCCCAGCCTGATAACAATGACCTCCAGCCTAATAGCAATGGCCTCCAACCTGACAGCCTAATAAGAAATGCCTCCAACCTGATAAAAGTGCCCTCCAACCTGATAGCAAATGCCTCCAACCTAATAACAATGGCCTCCAACCTAATAGCAAGGGCCTCCACCCTAATAGCAATGGCCTACTCAATGGCCTCCAACCTGATAGCAATGGCCTCCAACCTAATAACAATGGCCTCCAACCTAATAGCAATGGCCACCAACCCAATAACAATTGCCTCCAACCTAATACCAATGGCCTCCAACCTGATAGCAATGGCGTCCAGCCCAATAAGAATTGCCTCCAACCTAATAACAATGGCCTCCAACCTAATAGCAAGGGCCTCCAACCTACCAGGTTGTAGCAATGGCCTCCAACCTAATAACAATGGCCTCCAGCCCAATAGCAATGGCCTCCAACCTGGTAGCGATGGCCTCCAACCAAATAGCAATGGCCTCCAACCTAATAACAGTGGCCCCCAGCCTAATAGCAATGGCCTCAAACCTAATAACAATGGCCTCCAACCTAATAGCAATGGCCACCAACCCAATAACAATT